TTTCTTCATTTGGCCTGACCTTCTAGGTAAACTAAAATCCACTGATGAGTTCTTCAGTGCTACCTAGATGGTTAGATCTCATGAACTGTCTCCCACAGTCATCATATGCATGAGATCAATATCTGGTACATATTTATATTGCAACATCCAAGCACATTAGGGCATAAAGATGAATTTTTTTTTTTTTTTTTTTTTTTTTTTTTTTTTTAGGGCTTCTCACCTGTGTTCTTATTTCATGACTGATAAGGTGAGAACATTTGGTATATACTTTCCCATAGTTGTCATCCTGGAATAAATAATGCCTTGAAACTGGAGATTCCCTCTTGGGTGCCTTTTGGAGTTCTCTGTGCTCTATGGAGCACATGTGTGTTAATCAAACAAGCAAGAGCCTTCCTGGCAATCTGGTTGTTTCACAAGTGAGTCCTGAGATTCTAAAGTCAGCAACTACTGGTATCCAACCACAGTAATTCAAAAGTCATAGGGGATTCTGATAAATAACATCCTGTCCATAGTAGAGAATGGGCCTCAATAAGGCATGCCTGGTACTAGTACCATGTGTTAAAGAGGCTGTGGTGGAAGGTGCTGTCAGGGAAGCAGCATCATGTACTATTTGGATCTTGGTGATAGACATGATTGAGATGTCACTGTAATGCTCACGCTCACTATAGGTTATCATACTTTTTGTGAATTCCTGGAATGCCAGGCCTTCCTAATGGCATTATGTGGTTGGTACCCCCTTGCAAATCATGCTCACTGGCTAGAAGAGAGATGGTTACTGAAGAGGTAGAAGTCTGATGGGAGCACTAGCCCACACTGTTCTTAGGCAGTGACATACTGAACTATGATTCCTCTTTACTCGTATTTTGCCTGAGTGATTCAGCAAAACAACAAATCAAAAAAGCAAAAAAAAAAAAGGAGGGGACCTTCAATTCCTTCAGACTCTGAAATCAATAGTGATGAATGCTTGATGGCCTATGGTTGTAAGAGATGTGCCTTCTTCTTCCAGAAAATAAACATATCCACAATTGACAGCAGCTTCTCATTCTCTAAAGGGACTTGGTGGACAGACTACCAGGATCTCAGTTTTTGAGCTTCCTGTTCCATGTTGTCCAGAGTCCAACTCCACTTTGGGACTTCAGGGATTCAAAATCACTTCTTGAGACAAATTTTTTTGAATTTGCAAGTACTAAGTTTAGGTGTAAAACTTGTCTTCACACCTTGGCCTTTGGTTGCTTATAGAGTTTTACTAAAGCTTAAAAACAGCATAACCTAAGGTCACAAAAATGTTTAAGAATATTGTTTGATCAAAACAATCTTAAAAGCCAGGCAATGGTGGCACACGCCTTTAGTCCCAGCACTTGGGAGGCAGAGGCAGGCTCATCTCTGGGAGTTCGAGACCAGCCTGGTCTACAAGAGCTAGTTCCAGGGCAGTCTCCAAAGCCACAGAGAAAACCTGTCTCGAAAAACCCCCCAAAAAATCTTAAATTATCCATCTTAATAATTCTTAAGAGAAAACTCATGTAAATAAGAAACAAAGAGGTAATGTCTTATATTTGAATTTATATGACACTAAATGACAGCGAAAATATATAATGACAGAAACCAGAATGGCAATTACCTACAGGAAGGGGTCATATTGACTGGAAAAGGGGTACAAGGGACCCTGAGTAGACAATGCATTTTACATATTTACCTGGATGTATTTCCTGTCACAAACCACAGAATTTGTCTGATGAATCTGGGCTTTGTTCAATGTTCATTTGTTTTCTTTGTCTATATTTTTCTTCCTTTGTTGTTGGGCAAGGTGGAGGCAGAATTTTTGAGTGTGGCCTGTGCTGGTAGAGTTGAATGCATTGTGAACTTTGGCAGAAGCACCAAGAACCCCACCCAGCCTTTGTCATGCTCCAGGATAGGAGACAAGAGATGCCTGACACTCCCTTTTATCTCCCCTGTTTCCATTAATGTAATGATATAAAAAGAACACAGAGTCATATCAGAGATCTGCTACAGTACTAGGATGTGACAATGAGAGTGATTTTCTGTGGGAAATGATCTGCTACTCAGTGAAGTCGATACTATCCTCCCCAATTCATATTTTTCTTATACTTCCATTTCAGAAGTAATTATCCCAGAAAAGTTTCCAGGCCTTGTTCACTGAGTTCTTCTTATATAGGAATATCCTGACGAAAAATATTCAACAAACACTAATACAATGTTCAGTTTAACCAAGGTGACTTAGATACTACATATATTGAAGTAAACCTGTTCTTAAGTCTTATGTTATTGGTGGGAACAGTTACTGGGAAGGGATGTGTTCTGGAGACATCGAATTCTTTGGCATGACTTCCATGTTCCTGGTGAAGTTGGCCACTGAAGTTATTTTATGTGCTTTACCCTTTCCTTTCCTACAAATATCTGGGGTGACAAAGGCAAATTCCCCTGAGTTCTTCACACGTCTAAAATGTGGTAACCTCAGGGCAAATGAGTAGAGAACCTATTTGAACACTTGAACAAAGCACTATATTAGGTCCTTTAACATATGTAAGAACATCTATTTCCTTGAACAAAACTGTGGAAGGTTTGAATTTTTAAAATACCAAATTTAAGGGTGAAACAAATAGTGCTGTGAAAAAGAAAACCATTGTAAAGCCTAGAAAATGGCAGGGTTGTGATTCACATCGAAGTCTCCTTGACATGGGTTTACAATACACTGTCTGAAAAGGCATTATTAGAGAGAGAAACAATCTAAGTTTCCTAGACACACACGTAATTCATCACAGGCCAGGAAAGTAAGTGTGTTCACAAACTAACACGCAACGAGCTCTGTTGGATTACCATTTCTCTACTAACTTCCTGCTGCACATTAAGAGTTCTTTACTAGAAAATACATAGGTCTGACTGTGCATTGCTGATTTACTCAAAATTCCATCTTCTGTAATACTTTGTAGGAAGATAGATTCAGTGGTAGTATATTTAAGAATAGTTGTATTTGCAATGTCCAATTATTCTTTCTTATGCTTACCATAAATTAACATCTGTTGTAGGAAACTACTATTCATAGCAAATGGCTTCATATAAGGCATCACATTATTGATGGGTGGTGACATTTATTGCTTATTAGGAAGTTTTATCCATATAACTAGGATTCTTCACAACAGTCTAGCATACACATGGTTTTGTTGTTTTTTTTTCAATAGAAACAATTTTTAAATGATGGGGCATGTCCTTCTGTATGCTGTGAATATATGTTTCTCTTATTGGTTGGTGAATAAATGCTGATTGGCCAGTAGCTAGGCAGGAAGTATAGGTGGGGCTGCCATACTAGGCATGCTAGAAAGAGGAAGGCAGAGAACCAGGGAGATGCCATGTAGCCACCACAGAAGTATCATGTGGAGCATTATGGTAATTCACTGCCTCTTGGAAATACATAGTTTAATAGAAATACATAGTTAGTAATTAAGAAGAGCTAGCCAATAAGAAGCCTAAGCCATTGGCCAAACAGTTTATAATTAATATAAGCCTCTGTGTGTTTGCTTGGGGCTAAATGACTGTAGGACCAGGAAGTAAACAGAAATTTCTGTCTACATTTAAACTCCCATTGAAATACAATTTAATTCATGTTTTGGATAACTGTTTTGATAAAAAAAATAGAGGGACAAAGAAACCCTATGTTTATTGACTGTGTCCTGGTATATGTATTTGGCAGGGAGCCTACCTAGACAGCAATCTCATATCAGCTCCAGGCAATTTAATGTATATTGGGTTGTTTTGGATTTGGAAACCAAACTGAAAATAGGGTCTCAGATGTCTCTAAGGCCAGCAGCCTTCATGAAAAGTTTAGGTGCTTGTGTTAAGAATTCATCTCCTAAGGAGGTTTGCTTTTGGGACTCTGTCAATGTTTTTCTGTTTTTTGTTTTGTTTTATTTTTTTAAAAAAACTATACATGAGAAATTTTCTTTGAATAATTTATGCTGGATTTATTACTGTAACACTGAATTCCGTGTCATTGAGGGTTATGGAGACTACTGATAGTTTTTTTTTCCTCAATGAGAAATATATGGAAGAGGGGATGCTTGCCCCCTGAGACTGACAATTTGAGACAAATAACAGAGGATAATGTGTATTCATTTTGTGCCAAAAGTAGACTTCATAGGACACCTTCCACTGAATGAAGAATTGGGAAGGAAAATTTACTTCAACAAAAATGCCATCCAG